TCATGTCTCCCCGTTTAGTTCAGCCTTGTGTCTCGTTGATTACTCCCACCTGCCTCTCGTTTCCCAATCACCTTAGCTCCCAACCCTCCTGTATTTAAACCCTGTCTGTTCTTTGTACTGTGTCGGATCATTGTTTCATTGTCCAGCGTGCTTCAGTATTAAAACCCTTTGAATGTGCTCACCTGTCTGCCTGTTTTCCTGCTCCGCGTTGGATCCTCATCTCAGCTCCGTTCCTCTCAGCAGCGCGCTGACAGAATGATCCGACCCAAACCCGTTGTGAGATCCAGCGAGGAGATTCTCCCGTGGGAGCACCTGCTTCAGTGGCTCACTCCGAGCCACCACCCAGCTTCTCCATCGCCTTCCCCTGCTTCAGTTCTGCCTCGCCGAAAACGCCGTCCTCGGCCATCAGCCGCAGCAATCCTCGCTGCTCTCCCGGAACCGGACGAGGGGTCGGACCGGGAGCCGCTTCCGGATCGCTCCAGCTTCGTGGGCACCCGCCTGGCTGTGTGCTCCCCGGGAGTTGGCCCACGGCGTGGGGAGGCATGCCGGGCTCCACCGCAGCGGCTGGTCCCTGGACGGAGCCGCGAGCTCGCTGCAGTTCTGGCTCAGTGCGCCAACTTGGACACGCCCCCAGTCAGACCAGCAGTCCCGTCTCCGGTCCAACTAGCGCCTTCGTCATCTGCAGGCGGAGGAACCACACCCACAGCCCAGCTGATGGAGCTCCAGGCGGAGCTTGACCGGATCCGCCAGCTCGTCAGCCTCCAGGAGAGTCACCTGGACACTCTATCCTCCCCAAACCGCCAGGAGAGGAGTGAGCCCGTCCACCCAGCGGAGCTCGCTGGTCTCCGGGCTGAACTGGCCCAGCTCCATCGAACCCTCAACCTCCAGGAGCTTCAGCTGGACGGGCTGTCCCCCCTGCTCTCACGGCTTCCAGCCCTACCAGTTCCACCACTTCCAGTCCAGCCTGTCCAGGCAGCCCCTCCTGCAGCTGCCTCGCCTCCACTCCAGAGGGCCCAGAAGCAGAAGGGACGGGTTCAGAAGCAGAAGGGATGGGCCCAGAAGCAGACGGTTCCGGTTCTGGCCCCGAAGCGGACGGGTCGGCCCCAGCAGTCGGCGGTCCAGCAGTCGGCGGTCCAGCAGTCGGCGGTCCAGCAGTCGACGCCCCCGGACCAGAAGTCGACGCCCCCGGACCAGAAGTCGACGCCCCCGGACCAGAAGTCGACGGTCCAGAAGTCGACGGTCCAGAAGTCGACGGTCCAGAGGTCGACGGTCCAGGGCTCTGTGGCCGACGCCCCTGCCAGTCCTGTGGCCGACGCCCCTGCCAGTCCTGTGGCCGACGCCCCTGCCAGTCCTGTGGCCGACGCCCCTGCCAGTCCTGTGGCCGACGCCAGTCCTGTGGCCGACGCCTCTTCCTCGTGTTCTGAAGTCGACGCCTCTTCCTCGTGTTCTGAAGTCGACGCCTCTTCCTCGTGTTCTGAAGTCGACGCCTCTTCCTCGTGTTCTGAAGTCGACGCCTCTGATGACGTCGCCTGTCCAGAAGTCGACGCCTCTGATGACGTCGCCTGTCCAGAAGTCGACGCCTCTGATGACGTCGCCTGTCCAGAAGTCGACGCCTCTGATGACGTCGCCTGTCCAGAAGTCGTCGCCCCTGATGACGACTGTCCGAAGTCGTCGCCCCTGATGACGACGTGTCCGAAGTCGTCCCCCCTGATGACGACGTGTCCGAAGTCGTCGCCCCTGATGACGACGTGTCCGAAGTCGTCGCCCCCTCCTCTGATGACGACGTGTCCGAAGTCGTCGCCTCCTCCTCTGATGACGACGTGTCCGAAGTCGTCGCCTCCTCCTCTGATGACGACGTGTCCGAAGTCGTCGCCTCCTCCTCTGATGACGTCGCCTCCTCCTCTGATGACGTCCCGTCTGATGACGTCGCCTCCTCCTCTGATGACGTCGCCTCCTCCTCTGATGACGTCCCGTCTGATGACGTCGCCTCCTCCTCTGATGACGTCCCGTCTGATGACGTCGCCGCCACGTCCGATGACGTCGCCTCCTCCTCTGATGACGTCCCGTCTGATGACGTCGCCGCCTCCTCTGATGACGTCGCCGCCACGTCCGATGACGTCCCGTCTGACGACGTCCCCGAAGTCGGGTCGTCTGACGACGTCGCCGCCTCCTCTGATGACGTCCCCGAAGTCGGCTCGTCTGACGACGTCGCCGCCTCCTCTGATGACGTCCCCGAAGTCGGCTCGTCTGACGACGTCGCCGCCTCCTCTGATGACGTCCCCGAAGTCGGCTCATCTGATGACATCGCCGCTTCCTCGTCCTCTGAAGTCGGCTCGTCCGATGACATCGCCGCTGCCTCGTCTGGGGATGCTCTTTGCACTCAAGAGGCCGACGCTCCATCCAGCCCGGCGTCTCCACGGTCTCTGGTTCCGATGGTGGTTTTGAGGGCAACGCCGGCCCAGCCTGCAGTGACTTTGTCGCCGGCCCAGCCTGCAGTGACTTTGTCGCCGGTCCAGCCTGCAGTGACTTTGTCGCCGGCCCAACCTGCAGAGCTCCTCTTCTGCCGCAGGCGCCGGCCTCCAAGGGCCCGTCGCCTCCTCGTCTGCCGCAGGCGCCGGCCTCGAAGGGCCCGTCGCCTCCTCATCTGCCGCAGACGCCGGCCTCGAAGGGCCCGTCGCCTCCTCATCTGCCGCAGGCGCCGGCCTCCAAGGGCCCGTCGCCTCCTCATCTGCCACAGGCGCCGGCCTCCAAGGGTTCGTCGTCTCCTCCTCTGCCTCAGACGCCGGCCTTCCAGTGCTCGTCGTCTCCTCCTCTGCCTCAGACGCCGGCCCCCAGAGCTCGTCGTCTCCTCCTCTGCCTCAGACGCCGGCCTCCAAGAGCCTGTCGTCGCCTCCTTCTCTGCCCCTCTGCTGGTCCCTCTGTTCCTCTGGGCCCTTCCTCCTGGTTCCCCTCCTCCCACCCTGCTCCTCGTTCCTGTGGGCATCTGGGATCCGCCCCTTGAGGGGGGGGTACTGTCACACCCGGTCATGTCTCCCCGTTTAGTTCAGCCTTGTGTCTCGTTGATTACTCCCACCTGCCTCTCGTTTCCCAATCACCTTAGCTCCCAACCCTCCTGTATTTAAACCCTGTCTGTTCTTTGTACTGTGTCGGATCATTGTTTCATTGTCCAGCGTGCTTCAGTATTAAAACCCTTTGAATGTGCTCACCTGTCTGCCTGTTTTCCTGCTCCGCGTTGGATCCTCATCTCAGCTCCGTTCCTCTCAGCAGCGCGCTGACACTGAATATATCTCGAAATGAAAAGATTTCTTTTAGCAAACATCTGCCCACAGCCGCTCCAACAAAAGCGTCCTATACAGCATTTAAGGCATATTGTTTTTGTGGGTTCTGGTAGTCCAGTGGCAAGATCGTCTGCCTTGAGTTTTACTTTCCCCTCAGCTGATGCTGGTTCGACTCTCGGTGAGGTCGGCAGCAATCTATTTAGCCAGCTGAAACATTTACTTTGTTTATATTTTAGTTATAATGTTTATTTTCTGCCAAATATTTATGTCTCTAAAAGTTCTTTGAATTTGGTCGTTCCTAAACAGCATTTTAGTTTAAACTCTGCTCACAAATGGACTCACACTGGCCAAATAAAAAAAAACACGTTAGGCATTATATTGTAAACGGTATACCAATAAATTGTTGTAAACATAGTAGTGGCAAGTGTAGCTAGAAAATAAGGAAAAGGGATATAAACTACTTCTATACAACTGCTACTGGGAAGTGAACCTGCGCAAAACTGCATGTCAGCCTGCCTCCATAACCACTACACCACCACATCTAATAAAAAGCAGGTGTCTTTGTAGATGGGATGTATGGTTTTTCCGGCGGTGTCTCAGTTGAAGTCATTTCAGAAAAAATTTGTCAGAAAATTCACAGAATATCCAGATTTGAGATCCAAGACCAGACCCGCTTCAGGGGAGGAGACCAAATTGAAGCTGAGATGGGAGGAAAATGCATGAATGAGGCCAAAGATGGCTTTGACGTGTTTCTCATGAGGAAATGACAATATAACATGGTAAAAAGTTCCAAATGTTAGATTTTTAATTATATGGAAGCTTTACAAAAACTGTTCAGTTAACTTCTCAACTCCATCCTCAATCTTGCATTTTAGATGATATTAGCTATAACACCCTCTCTGGTTCCAGAATGCTATCAGGTCTGACAACTGGAAGGAATTGGACTGACTCTGATGGAATGGGCGGGGCTAACTCTGGTGCAGCTCCACCTTCTGGTGCAGCTCCGCCTTTGTGGTTCTGCAGCGAGCACCACTTGAAACCTGCTGGATACCGGCCTTCCAGGCCCAGAATTGAATACTCCTGGTTTTACTGTTTACTGTCATTTTGGTTGAATCTTATTCATTATAACAATTTACTTACAATTTAATTTTTAAATTGCTTTTATTTATTTTTTTGGAAGAATTGCTACATTCAGCCAAAGAGAGCCATTGTTGTTTTGTATTTTGACACACTGTTAAAACTGCCTATGGAAAGTGAAATGTGTGCAAGCATGCAGCAACTTTTGTGCTCAGGTGGGACACACTAACATGTCCAAACGAGGCCTTAAACAAGAGCTGCTTCATCAGGACAGGGTGACCTTTTTTCTGAAGCCTCGTTTTCAGTTCAGAGCTTTATGTCAATGGCAAGAATTTCCACTTATGCTGCCAAACAATAGGAATTAAACGCCGGCTATCAGTAAAACTATTACATTTCTTTCTTCAAGTGAGGAAAATTGAAAATGCATTGATTGTTGTGATGAACAGAAAATGTTTAGATCACGTTAAGCTGAAGGTTCCGTGCTATTTCACTGTACACGTTTTGGTTTTTCATCATCTGTTCAAAATCTCTAATCCCAAGAATTGAACCAACTTTGTGCTTAGTTTCTGGTTTTAGCCATTTCCCTTTACATCAACATGTTCTTTCATCTCATCTGTCTTGTGTTTTTCTCACCCACCCATCCAGCTCCTCAGGTTCCGGCGGCGTAGGTGACCGGGTCCTGGCTCAGCTCCTGACAGAGATGGACGGTATTGAGCAGCTCCAGGACGTAACCGTGTTGGCTGCCACCAACCGGCCTGACATGATTGATAAGGTAAACAGACGACTACTTTCTTTCTTCACATCTCCATCCTCCTCTTTGGTCACTGATTGATAGATTGAGGAGATCATGTGTGTTTGGCTCCCCTGTTTTCTCTTGTCCTGCTTTTCCTCTTTAATACATGATTGATCAGGTCAAAGGTCACATGTTCTGGTCTTTCTGAATATGTTTGTTCAGTCAGATCAGATGCTGGATTTTACACTTGTTTATTAGACACAACGGAAAGATCTATTTCATGATTATAAAATTGAGAAATTAGGATGTTAGTCTGTTTATTTATTCATTTTAAAGCCCATTTAATCATCTTTACTCCCTCTTCCCAACCTTAAACCCTGTATTTGTTCTGTTCCTACTCACCTCTGTCCTAATGAAATTTCCTAAATGCTGATCAAAGAAAAACTCTGTCTCTTCAAAGAGACGTTGGAAAGGAGAATGTCACGGTGCTCTACGAGCTTCTGATCAGGAAGCTGCCTTTGTCTAGGTTTTCCTTCTCTTTTGGAATGAAAGTACTGAAAATAAAAATAAGTTTAAGCAAGTCTAATTGTTACATAAACACATCCCCTTAGAAAATAAACTTGGAGTTGATGCGTCATTTTGTAAAGATGTACCTTCTCCACTAACACTATACCCTGAGTCTATTTCTGGCACATTTAGGGATCTGACCCATCCCCATGTTGGGGGAATGGCAGAAACGTCCTCCTTTTTTTAAAACTTGTTTCCACCGCAACTCAAACTTCATTAATCCTAACAAAGCCTCAAGTGTGTATTCGAAGGAAAGGGGAGATGCATAAAGAGAAAGAAAGTCTATTAGCAGCATGCAGGGGGTCAAGCCCCTGGGTGGACAGATGGAAAAACCCCAGGTGTCATTCCACCCCCCCACCCCCGGCACACTCCCTAACAGGAAGTGCTCCCCTGTGCAGCTGAGAAATCAGATTTTCACTCAGACCTCCAACTGAGCCTGTTTGTATGTGACTGTGTGTTCAGGAGTGTTCAAATCTTTCAAATAAAATCAAACCCTGTGAACTCCAACATAAAATGGAAGCTGAAAAATGAGCGTCAGACTAAATTATTAAAGATGACAGAAAAATGTCCTCCACATTTGACCCATTCCCATGGGGACCAATGAGCTGCAGACACGGCCATGCTTGGAAACTATTTGGTGGATTAGATAAAGATCTAATTGGTTCAAGATTAAAAAGTCTAGAGTGATTGCTTCAATAATGCTAGCTGGTTTACCAAACACACTTTCCCAACATTCTGTACTGAGAATCATTGGCAGATAAGCACTGGTTACCTCTGGCTCCACACTGGGTCACAGTTTAGCACCATCCTCTTCAACATCACTCCCACCACTATTCCTTCACTCCAGAGACTGGAGACATTTCCATTCTAAAGGCCGGATATGATGGGGCAAACAAAGATAACTGAATGTGTTGGGTGTGAATGAAGTCATTATTCAGCTTAATTATGTGGAGAAGACTCGTCAAGGCCTCAGCTGTTGGAGGGACAGAGTGTGAAGGGTTTGGTCAGTTGGGTCAATCTCTAAAATAATGCTGGTTTGAAATTTTGTTTTGCCTGCTTAAGGGTATTTTAGCTAGAATAGACCTTAATCTAACATCCAAAACATTTCCCAGTGGAAATAAGACCCCAAAACCTGCCGCGTTTTGCTCACCTCTGCTCTGACTTACTTCTAGTTCCTGAAACCGGAGCGCCAGAGCTTTTTTTCCCACAGAGCTCGACTCACAAGGCATTTGTCTATACTAAAGACCCTTGCAAATGTGTTGAAAAAATGGATGAACTTGGTCTTGCATTGAAAGTTTTATTCTTTCAAAGCACACCATAATTGAATCCATTCAGCATTTGTTTGTCAATAGGTTTTTAAACTTACTTTAATCCATCATCGTTCTTTTTTTCCTCATCTTGTGAATAATATTTTATCTACTACGCTAACAGGGCCCAGAGGTCTTTGGTGTGTTTACAAAGGTCTGTAGTAACCTGTAGTTTTGGTGTTCAGAGAAAAGTTCTCTTTTGAGTGCAACTAAATCAGACACTAACCAAAGACAACAAATCAATTTTTAATAAAAATAGACAGAATGTTCCATTTCTTTAAGCAACAAGAGTAACACATTTAATATGTGTTATTTGTAAGTCCGTAAACAATCTATTTTAATCACAAACAGGGCAATGTTCCAGCTTCTTTGTTTTTGCAGAGATACATTCTTTAATCGGACTCTTCTGAAACCGTAGTTTAATTAATTCCTCTGCATCACCACATTGGTCACACACACATTCTACTTCTTCCCTTCTTCTTAAGGAAGAAAAAACTCCCACACTTCCTGTTGTCTTTGTGTTGCACCGGTCACCCACTCTCACCTCTGACCTGTCAGCACCCCCTCGAGCTGATTGATTAGCACCATCAGAAATATTTGTCCTCCCTGTTCAGTAGAAACAACATGTCACTAAGTTTGCTGAGCTTGGTTATTGGTAATACAAACACCAACATGTCCTGTTGTTCTCCCCAATGGTCTACTTCTGTGTTTTACACTATTCTTCGTCAGTAAGCTCAGTGTCATTGTAAATTCATGGGTAATGTAGTGAAGCATAGCGTTATTTTAGGGGGTTTTGATGCCAAAATGCAGCTGTAGTCACAAAAATCTACCCACACGTTATCTTCGATCAAAAATGAAGTCATGACGAACTATGAAAAAAAAACTGCATCACTAGCTTTATGCTAACCTAAAGACAAATGACCATTGGTCTTCATTACAGCAATTATAGAACTGATTTGTTTAATGCTGTTTTTTCACCTGCTAGATGTCATGTTCATGTTGAAACCTGCCTCTTGTTTTGTAATGAGGTTTCTGAACAGAAGATGGTGCCAAACATGACACAGGTTTGTTTTTTAAAGGAGTTTTTCTTTTTTAAATGATAGTTTCTAAATATTAGAAACTCGCCATATGAGAATCTTTATGTTTAATCTTGTCTTGTTGAAATGTTTATTTCTTGAGGTGGTTAGATATAATACAAAACATTCCTTCATGATTAAGTTTCATCACAATAAAAATAAGGGGAAAACTCAACTTGGTCTAAAGAAATTTTGCATATTTTGTAATCCAATAGCTTATGATATTTAGTCATAATAAACATCCAGTCTTTAAAGTACAAGTAAAGTTGTCCAAATTGAACAGTTATTTCATTGTAAAGTCACAGTTTTTACAGTATATATTTTCATTTTTCGTCCATAAGATAATACACTTTTCTGTTCTTGTCTCTGAGTGTGCACCAGGGCAGCTGTGGCTACATTGTAGCTCATCATCACCAGGGTGTGAATGTTTGTGTGAATGGGTGAATAACTGATCATGTTGTAAAGGCCATTTACCATTTCTAATAGATGAAGGAAATATGGTAAAATGGTAAATAGATTGTATTTGTAAAGCACCATCTAGGGTTCTACAACCCCCCAAGGCATTTCACAAAACAATCAGTCATCCACCCATTCACAATCACCATGTTACATTACATTCAATACAATGAGTAGCTTTAATAATGAGCTTTAATTCAGTTCCTTTTTTTTTTTCATTTTGCAACCTGTGTCTGTGGATTTTAGTAATAAAAGTTCCTACTTGGTTTTATCTGATACAGAGTGATTAGGACAGTGTGACCCTTGCCATGCTATGATTTATTACATATTTGGCTCACTTGATGGTAATTAGCATATTTTCCGGACTATAAGCCGCTACTTCTTTCCCACGCTTTGAACCATGCGGCTTATAATGAGGTGCGGCTTTACAGAAGATTTTCCTTCACCTGTCAGGGGGCGCTTTAGCAGAAAGTGAAACAGGTGGAAGTCAAAAGTGGAAATCGAAGAAAGTGCTCATTTTAATTTAGCACATGCAAGCAGCCGGCACGACGAAGAATTTTTTTCAAATCCATACCCCCTCATCATGGTAACTACACGTATGAGTTCATATTTTGCCACATTTAAGTTGAAGGCCATCGATCTGGCAGTAAAGGAGGGAAACAGTGCTGCCTCATGTAAGCTTGGCATGAATGAATCCATGGCTTGGCGCTGGAGACGGCAGCGGGAAGAACTCATTCAAGCCAGCTTAACCCGGGGATGATGACACAACACGGACAGCGACACTGACATCGCCACAGAAAAGGTATTGACGAAGCTCTTCTGAGGCTGTTCAACTCCGACACTGAAGAAGAGGACTTTAATGGCTTTAGTGCGCAAGAGGAAGATGAGAGCGAATGACTTTTTCTGGTAGGCAAGTGTGTTTTATTTACTAACCAGGCATGTTTTGTGTGCAGTTTTTATTTTCTAATCATCCGGGGCTTATTAATGCTGTGTCAGCGCTGTTCTGTTCTTCTAAACATGCATGCAAATTACCGGTAATAACGTGTCAGTTCTGTTTTTATTTTATAACCATCCAGAAATATGAATGCTATCAGTGCTGTTTTCTTTTCTAAACTTGCCAGGCACCTTCACCCGTGTTTCAAATTTGTTTTGTTGAATTAAAACAACAACGAAAAACCTCAGTGTTGCGTCTTTCTGTCTAATCATCTTATGTTATGGCCATACGTGCGCTGTGCGCCGGAGATCTGCTGCGCTGCGGCTTGTATTTCAGTGTGGCGTGTTTGTGTAGAAAACTTTTTTTTTTTTGTGCGGCTTATATTGAGGTGCGCTCTATAGTTCGGAAAGTACGGTATGGCAGTCACCAGAACAGTATTTCACAATCAACAAAAATCAAAAATATTTAAGAACTAACCTAGAAATCTAAAGAACTTTTTCAAAAAGTAAACTTACCATACCACACCACATCACACCATACCATACCATACCATACCATACCATTCATGTTTATTTATAGAGCACATTTCAAAACAGCATGGGAGCTGACCAAAGTGCTGCACAAGAGTGAGTCAGTGAACAGTAAAAACGCAGGCAAAAGTACTACAGAGCAGTACGCACCAATAAGATAAATCACAGACAAGATCAAATACATAAAAAACAATGTAAACTATTGCCTATTAAATAAAGATGACATAATTAAGTCAAAGCCTGCTGACCTAAACAGAAAAACTAAAATAATTAAGGCCGGGTCATTTACGATAAGCTAATTGATAGAGATGTGTCTCAAGGTTTGATATAAACTACGTGGACGTTGGAGCCTGGTGGACAAACAAAGGAAGAGTATTCCACAACTTAAATGACGCAAATGCAAAAGACCGTTCACTCTAGGAATTGTAGCCCATATTTGGGACAGATAATAAGGCTTATGTGGGAACATGAGGAGTAAGCAACTCTGAGAGGTGTTGAAATGCAAGGCCATTTAGAGCTATATAGGCAAGGGTCAGAACTTTAAACACTCCGTAAACACACTCCAAGACTGGCCACCCAAGGTCTTCAAATTAAAGAAAGGGAAAATAAATCAACAGGTGAATCGCAAGTATTCTTGGGATTTAACAGAGTGGCCTCGGTCTTTGTGTCATTTAACATTAGGAAATTGGATGACAGCCAGGATTTAATATCCAAGAGGCAATCAAGAAGCTGATTAACTAAATCTGATTGGTTCAGAGCCAAGTCAATTTGTCAGTCATCAGCATAGAGCCATCAGCCATGTTTTGCTAGGATATTGCCAAGGGGGAGAAGGCAAATAGAAAACAGGAGTGGACCTAAAGTCAAGCCCTGGTGTACTCCCCAGGGAAGCCATTTTTCAGTTTTGCTCCTTCTGAATTTCTGACCATTACTATTTGCCCACAGTCTGTTTCTGCAACTCTTTTACCTTCCCATATTAATGGTGTCTGACCCTGCCTGCATCCTCAGACCCGTTAATCATTTTTAAAATAAGAACGTCCTTTACAGTCAAATGTATAGAAGCATATTGCCATCATAGAGAAAAAAAAATGTAAACCTAAACAAGCAGTATCTTGTCATAATGTAAATATACCCTGGTAATACGAGATTGTTTCTCATTTATCAAGATGGTTTCTTGTTAAAGGGGAACATAAGTCTCCTCCTTTTCTGGCCGGCTCATGGGTCCCCAGAAGAATGAAAAAATATGTTACGTAGTAGTTACTTTGACTACAAATCAGACATCCCCAGTGTAGCTGCTACTTTCCACATGACAGGTTTTATGGTGGTTCTTTCATCTTGAAGGAAGTATTGGAGGTTTGCTAAACGGACAGCCATTTTCCCTCTGCTTTTTTCCGTGGTTCACGCATTTGTAGGCCTATACATATTTTTACAAAAAACCTAATTGCATTCAGTTTTTTTTTTCTTATGGGTATCCGTGATTTGGAAGTAGATCGGCGTGACTTATGGTTGATTTATACTTCTCCGTCAGCTCAAGTGTGGAGTTGTGCACATGCATATTTGAGCTATTTATAAACTTATTAAGCTATCTTATTCCCATCATGAACTTAATAATTATCTGTTGCCTAAATGTGACACAGAGCTTTAGTCAGGATTGTTTCAGGGAGAATGTCATTCAGCTGCTGTTGGAGACAAATTAACCCCACACATTTTTTTCTATTACTAAACTAAATTGAAGTAGTTGCATTCATGACGGGAGATATGTGACTTATCTTTTTGTTTTTCATGGGGGGGGGGGGCTGCATATATCGGTATTGGTTTATATTGGGATCGGAAATTAAGAGTTAGGCAATATCGGTAAAAAAATATATCAAGCATCCCTAGTAAGGAGTGGTTTATTTCAGAAGAACAAGCATTTACAGGTATCAGCTTTCCATCCTTTTCTAAATATTCATACTCTCCAGTCTTAATTTTATTGCCATTTACTCTCAATTGTAGCAACAATTTTCGGACCCGCAATCTATTTCTAGCCTTCTGCCCTCCCCACAGTCGTCTTATAACTGTCCACACCCTCGAGATTTGTGTTTGGACCTGTGGGATCCCAGTCCCATTGTTGGATTCTACCCTGGGCTATTAAAAGCAGACCAAATATTACTGATGTGAAAAGACCCATACATGGTGTCTCCAAAAGTACAACATGTTTGTGTGTGTTGGCCTCCTATTTCCACCCTACAAGGAAATTTCACTCTTGAGTTTTCTTTCAACGGTAGAAAGTACCGCCAATACCTAAAACATTTTTGTTTTTGTTCATAAATCCTACAAGAGGACATCTGAGGATCCTTTGTATTCCTATTAGTGAATACCTTTTGTTTTGTCTTTTCTTCAGCAAAAACCGTCTTCTGAGCCATTGCTTCACTAAACAGGAAACTACCTTCAGCTCAAAAGAGTACCTATAAGCCAGCCAGCCAAAACAGGCCATATTTTATTTTGTGCTGGCCTGACGTTATCATCTCTCTAGCTTTTCCCTTCTCTCATGACGAGCCAAGCATGATGGAATCTCTGTTGATGCTGTCTTAAAGGATTAGGGCTTATTCACTGTTTTTTTCTTGACTGCACTGTTCTGAATGGGACCTGGGTGACGCTGTGTCTTACTGAAGCTGAGCAAAGCTGTTGATATTATCTGCTTCATATCTGTGTTCACCAAGAGCTGCAAATCCTGCATTTACACCAGGTTATACTACTAAAAATGGTTTTATAACAAAGGTTTTTGAAAATGTGTATTTCTACCTCCCTTTGTCATTTTACGTTGTAAGAAGATGGCAAAGTTTGTGTCAGACAAGATGCAATAGCAAGAAAAAAGTGTGTCTTTGCATGCAAGTAATGGGACACCACCAAGGGATGGATGAGCCCTTGGAATATGTGTGTGTGTGCATGAGAGAGAGAGAGAGAGATGAGAGGAGAGAGGAGGAGAGAGAGAGAGAGAAGAGAGAGAGAGAGAGAGAGAGAGAGAGAGAGAGAGAGAGAGAGAGAGAGAGAGAGAGAGAGAGAGAGAGAGAGAGAGAGAGAGAGAGAGAGAGAGAGAGAGAGAGAGAGAGAGAGAGAGAGAGAGAGAGAGAGAGAGAGAGAGAGAGAGAGAGAGAGAGAGAGAGAGAGAGAGAGAGAGAGAGAGAGAGAGAGAGAGAGAGAGAGAGAGAGAGAGGAGAGAGAGAGAGAGAGAGACGAGAGAGAGAGAGAGAGAGAGAGAGAGAGAGAGAGAGAGAGAGAGAGAGAGAACTAGGGAAGCAGGATACCAAGGCAAGTATCAAGCTTCAAGGACTGTATTAGTGTCCATTTACACGTTCTCATACAGGGAAGCCACCATAAAACTCCGTCAATCCAAATACATACAGTGCAGTGAAAATCGTGCAGGACCAGACTTTACATATCTAAACTTTTTACTAACAAAAACTTTCTACAACATCACCATCTTCTTTATGATGTGGCATTTTGTATTTCTCTATATTACTTCTTGTGGCTATGCTACATGTGTGTGTTTGCCTCCTATAGAGGCATTCAACATCCATCAGCTACTCTCCTGTTTTGATGAACAACAGAGGAAAAAAGACATGCAGATAGGGGAGGGAGGTGTGTGTGTGTGTGTTTGGGGGGAGGGTGGGGGGAGATAGTCAGGGAGGAAATGAGGGCTCTTTGTGCTCTGCTACCTGGCAGACATCTCCAGCATGTGTCGTCTTGCCTTTTGGCAAGCTGAGACCACCGGCGCCCTTGGAATGCTCTCAGTTCAGGAAATCTCGTTGATTCTCATAAATGCTACTCCTAACCACCTTTCCACTATACTGCTGGATAGCTTGTATATTTTTTTTCCCTTTTTATCATAGTTTGTGCCTTTTTGTGCATTTTTTCCCTATTACTGTTTGTTTCTTTCTCAGTATGTTTCATCCTATTTGAACAGAAATTTGCATCTCGAATATGAAGGATTCAAAGCAGCATTTTAAAACAACGTATTACTCACTGTGGCGTGTGAGTAAAAAAGGTGTCTTTTTAAAAGAGAAATGTAGAGATTGTTAATATTTTTAAGTTATACAAACAAAATGTGCTGTATTTTTGTATAGTTTGAGATGGCTGTATTTATAGATATTTGGTTATTTGTTTCTTCCTATACAAAGATAGTTGGGGTACCTTGCAAAAACTTCAAGGATGGTATTAAATGATGAATAAACTATAAATTACATGCACTTGTATATAGCCTTTCTGAGTCAGACGACTGCAAAGTGCTTTACACTACAGTGAGTCATTCATCCATTCATGCAAACACTGGTGGTGATGAGCTACAGTGTAGCCACAGCTGCCTGGGGCACACTGACAGAAGCAAGGCTGCTGTATGTTGGGTACTGCTCTATCATTTAGTACCTAATGGAAGACAACTTTTGAAAAAAACTATTTTAAAGAAT